AAAAAAAAAAAAAAACAAAGGACAAAAAAAAAAAAAAAAGAAAAAAAAAATATAACCTTTGGGTTAAAATAAAAAAAAAAAAAAAAAAAAAAAAAAAAAAAAAAAAAAAAAAAAACTACAGGATCACGATCACATATACAATTTCAACTAGCAAATGGTGATATATGAAATATATAATCTATCAAAAATATCCAGGCAACACGTATTGTAATTTCTTTATTTGCTCAGCTTTCCTTGATTCCTTACTTGTAACAAAAGAGTAACTCGCATTTCCTTTAATTGATTCAAATTTCCCATCATTTAACGCTTGTTCTAAATCCGGCAAAATTGTCTCCAATAATCTTTTAGCTTGCGCTGAATTTTGCAACATAACATTCATAACAGCATCAACAGTAACGTCTTCTTCGCCTTGTTTCCAGCAATCATAATCAGTCGACATGCAAACCATTTGATAGGCTATTTCTAGTTCTTTAGCTAACTTAGCTTCTGGTATGGCAGACATATTAACTACGTCACAATCCCAACTACGATACAACTTTGATTCAGCTCTAGTGCTAAAAGCTGGACCCTCTATACACACCAATGTTTTCTCTTGATGTAACGTACTTCCTTCTTTTTCTAAAACAGATTTATGTCTATAAATTAAATCTGACAATGTTTGATTAAACGGATCAGCAAATGAAACATGTGCTGCTAAACCATTTTCAAAAAATGTTGAATGACGAATCCCTTTGGTACGATCTATAATTTGATCTGGTAAAACGAAATCTTTTGGTTTAATTTCTTCGCGTAAAGAGCCCACAGCTGAAAATGCTATAATAACTTCTACGCCGATATGTTTAAGTGCTGCTATATTGGCTCTCGATGGAATTTCGGAAGGATTATATAAGTGCCCTTTGCCATGTCTGGCTAAAAATGCAATTTTGAATCCGCGTGGATCTTGAACTATTACGATTTCACCACTAGGATAACCCCAAGGCTAATAATGTAAAAAGAGGGACATATCTTTAAAAAGAATTGAAAATACTCAAGAAAACTTGCAAGTACATGCTTACTGTTTCAGGAAAAGACCTTTGAATTACTTTCAAATTATCAAATTCATACAGTCCACTACCACCGATAACACCAATTCTTATACCATTATTACCTGCCATTTTTTTTTTTTTTTTTTTTTTTTTTTTGGATTGAAGCAAAGAGATGTAAAACCCTTTGTTCCTTGTATGACATTTTTGATGATGTGTAACCTCTGAAAATCTTTAATCCGCTAACACAAATAAATACACAATTGTTGAACCTCATTGACGCAGTTTTTATAACTTCTTTAAATTTATTAAATTTATAAATTTATTTTCGGAATTTCCTGTTATAGGCTTACATTTTCAAGATGTGATCATTTAAGGTTACATCTTAATGGCTTTTTGATTAATTTCTATAAATTATTGTTATTGTAGCTCAATTTTTTTTCCCTAAATATTGTAAATATTGTATTAATTAATAACATTCATTCTTTTTTATTTTTATCCTTTTTTTGTAAATTTTGTAAATTTGTATAAAAATATAAAATTTAAAAACGCAACGATAAATTTTAATTAAAAAAAAATCATTATTGTAAAATTGTTTTGTATTTTTATATTTAACATTATAAAAATTTCTCTTTTGTATAATATATTTAACTTAAACGAAGCATAATAAAGCATGGCATCTACTCAGTCTGTTTCACTTGGTGATATGGGTGATCCCTTAAAACAATTTGCTCCTCAAAATGAAACTCCGGAGGATAGGCGTCAACGTATAATGTTAGAAAAAGAAGCAAGGAAGAGAAGTGAAGCTATTGACAAACAAATTAAGGCTGAAAAGGAACAATTAGAAAAACAAAAAGTAGCAAAATTATTACTGTTAGGTGATAACTTAGTATTTGGTACCAAGTATTTTTTTAAATGAATAATTATATTAACATTGTATTTCATTCTTTATCTAATAAAAGGTTCATCGGAGAGTGGTAAAACGACTGTACTTAAACAACTAAAAATTATTCACGGAAAAGGTCTAGAGGATGAACGCAACCAATATCGAAGAATTGTTTACCTTAACATTCTTACTGCAATGAAAGCCTTGACCAGTGCTCTTGCAAATCTTGGTTATACATTAGATCCTAAAAATTTAGTTCATCTGCAAAAATTTAGTAAATTAAATTCAGTGAAGGATTCATTAAACCGCAATTCAATTAGCGTTCAAGCGGCAATTCGAGATGCTAAATTGGACGATGATGCATTCCAATTATTCACAGAACACGCTGAAGGGATCATAGAATTATGGAAGGATTCAGCGATTCGAAAAGCTTACAAACACGCTAGCGAAATTGGGCTACAGGATTCGGCAAAATAGTAAGTCGTTTTCTTTTTCGTAATTATCGATTTCTGGCTAATTCTACGTAATAATAATAATAATAATAAAACTATTACTACTATTATTATTATTATTATTATAGCTTTTTAGACAATGTTGAACGTTTTGCTCAAAAGGATTATTTACCTACTGATGAAGATATCTTACAAGCTCGAGTTCGAACAATCGGTGTTAGTGAACACAAATTCGAAATAGACGGGGTTACATACAAGTAAGTTTGTTTTTGTGAACTTAATTATATTAAAATCAATAATATTAACTACTTTTCGTTCTTTAGGATTTATGATGTAGGCGGTCATCGTTCTCAACGGCATTTTTGGGCGTAAGTTTGTTATATAATCCTCCGCTGGTTTTTTTTAATCAAATTCTTCTTTTTTCTAAATAATTTCATATTATCTTTAGTCCTTATTTTGATGATGTGAATGCTATAATTTTCATGGCTGCAATCTCAGCATTTGATCAACCACTTGAGGAAGATCCGAATGTTAATCGTATGGTTGATGCAATTCATCTGTTCGAAAACATATGTAATCATAAATTATTTATAAATACGAGTATAATCTTGTTTCTTAACAAGATTGACATTCTAAAGCATAAGCTTACTTTAGTTGACTTAAAAGACTATTTCCCTGATTTTAAAGGTATTATATATTTCTAAAGTTATAGCTTCCGTCATTGTTGAATGAATGTCGTTAAAGCATATTTTTATTATCTAGGTGAAAATAAATTCTCAAGCGTAACAAGGTTCTTCCAAAAGAAATTTGGACATTGTAATAAAAATAAAGATAAACGCATTTATGTCCACTTTACTCACGCAACAGTAAATATATTGTTTATTCTGTCATATATGATATTAAATCATATTCGATATTTATTTTTTTTTCTTTTCGAAATTGTAGGATACAAAACAAATGCGTGTCATCGTTGCTACAGTGAACGATATAGTCCAGAGAGTGAATCTCAAAGCTTCGGGTCTCATCTAAATTGACAATTCACAAGACTAAATATCAAAGGTTTTTCCTCCAAGTAAATGGGATTGATTGGTTAGGGGATTAATGATTATATATATTTGTATTAATTCTTGTAGTTCATAAACAAATATTTTTTCTATTTCGAATAATTAAATTAACAATTAAAAAGCATTATTTTTTTTTTTTTCATTACATTAGAAATCGGGAATTTATTTGTAATATATAAATATATTTTTTTAAGTTTATTAAATAACAATAAAATAAAAAAAAAAAAGGTTCCTAATTCGAACTTAGCTTTTTTTCATAATATATTGCAGTATATCTTCAAATTTGCATTCCTCTTGAACCTTATTATCCAAATCCTTTATTATCACTTCACCCTTTGAGATTTCATTTTCACCCACAAGTATCACATGTGAAGCATTGGTCTTTGCAACATTACTCAATATAGTTTTCAACGATGATTGACGTGAACTTTGAGGGGGATGATAAAACAATGTCGAAATATCTTGAGCATGTAAAGATTTGGAAAGGTTAAGACCATGATAATATAATTTATTATTTTTCAAGGGCATTACAGAGTCAAGATCTGCTGAGCTATTTTCAGAAGATGGTGCTTTTTCACGATTGGGTATTACAACAATTGCGATTGGTCTTTCTCGTGGTGATAATATATTTTCATCTAATATCATTGCTAATCTATCAATTCCTGCAGCCCAGCTACAAATTTTTTTTAAAAATAAATAAATATATTAATTAAACATAATGATAAAACTTTAAATCCATACCCAATTCCAGGAACTTTGTCTTTTCCGCCCATCATTTGAACAAGACTATCATATCTACCACCAGCCAATATGGTTCCTTGAGTGGCTCCAAGGTTAGAGTCCATACATTTGAATTCAAATATTGTACTATCATAATAATCTAATCCTCTAACTAGATGGGGGTTAATTTTATATGGTATACCTAAACTTTGAAGTCCTTGACAGACGACGTCAAATCTCTTAGCAGATGTAAAATTATAATATTCTGTGATTTTTGGACAATTTTGAATAATTGGAACATCTTTTGGACTTTTTGAATCTAAAACGCGTAAAGGATTTGTTGAAATCCTTTTATTGTAGAAATTCATTTAAGATTAACATCTTTAATAATACAACAGTTGAAAAATTTTAGGATTAAATCGTTACCTCTTTACGCTATCCTCTGAAAGGTGATGTTCATTTTTACGTAAATATTCTCTTACAGCGTCACGATATCGCATCCGAGATTCATTATCGGCCAGGGAATTGATCTCAATCTAATACAATAAAAATAATTTGACTAAGTGGTTCTTGACAAATAAATTTTTACAATACGAAATATTAACTCTGAGATCCTTACTTCAAAAGACCCACCAAGTCCGATTTTATTTAAGAATGTCCAAGCCATATCAATTACTTCAATATCAGAGGTCGGGTGTTCATGACCAAACAATTCAACACCAAATTGTTCAAACTAAGTTTATTAAAAATAATAAATAACTTGTTTAGGAATGTCAATTTCGAATTCCATTTCTTAAATGTTCACCTGCCTTAACCTCCCTTTTTGAGGCCTTTCATGACGAAACATGGGACCATAATAATAAAATTTTTGTGGGAGATCGTAAAATAAGTTATTACTGATTAATGCTCTAACGATACCTATTCAAATGTCAATAGAATTGGTCACATATTGCGACCTTCGGAAATTTCAAAGGGAACTTTATCATCAATCATCACATACTTACCAGCGGTTCCTTCCGGTCTCAAAGTTAATTTGTTATCTCCATTATCAATAAAGCTATACAATTCCTTTCCGACTATATCAGAATCATCGCCTAAAGTTCGCTCAAAAACCTGAGATAATTCTAATATTGGAGTAGAAACCTAAACGTTGATAATCAAGAATTTAACCTATAGTGTATAAGTTCAAAAGATATATCTGATCGGAGAGCTTACGTGATTATAGCAATGTAGTTCTGCAATGGAAGATGCGACTTTCAAGATATGATCATATTTTACATTTTCGGTTCCAAAACGGTCGCGTGTTCCTCTAACAGGACGCGCGAGTTCTAAAATAAACGAGTTATTCAATAAAGAGAAACGGGTCATCATTAAATAGGGATTCTCCCAATATTACCTGTTGATAATAATCTACTGTGTTGCGATATAACATTATTCTGTAAGCGTTGCCACAAATTACTATGTGACAGAGAAACAAGTCTCGGAGAATATATAAGTGGAGACATATTGTTATTAAATTGGAATTGTTAATAATTCAATAATAATCAGAAAATCATTGTTTCGTATCACTAATCTTTGATTTGCAGTATTTATTTTACTTTATAGCAGATATATCAGCATTTCTACAATGTAATATGATTTTAATACCTTTACAAAAAAATATTTTCAATCTTAGAATTACTTAACGGGCGCAATCTATCACGTCTATCACGTGCTTAATCACTGATCTGCAATCAATGTCAAAAAAAAATTCGTTTTTTCGGTCTTTTAATCTAAGAATAAATTTTTTTTTTATGCAATCAAACAATTAAATTCAGGAGATGTTTATATTGCTTGTCATTTCCATTTAAGGTAAAACTTTTCTGCATTTAAAATTTGCGCTCAAACAGCTAACAGCTCAAACAATGTGGTAAGTTACTTATTGTCCCATATTTTAACTCAATTTTTCAGAACGACTATATTTATTTAATTTATTAAGGTTCACAAGTTATGTGTGAGGGGTCACCCCGATCCAAGCGATAAAATTCATTTTTTTTTTAATTCAGAATATAAATTTTCGTTTGCTCTTAAACATTACTAAATTTGGGTATCAAGATTAATATTTTTTGCAGAAATTTTCATTTTAAAAGTATGACAATAAAATTTTTGCCTTCAAGCTTTCCCCTTTTTGGAAATACAATTATATTTGATAATTCAAATTATCAATTAAATGAAGAATGTTTATCTAAATTTAGTCATAAAATTTTTGATTTAAAAATTTCGAATTAATGTATAAAAAATATTATAAATTTTATTAAAAAACAAAAATCTAATTGTATACAAGGTGTTTAAGTATTATCTCTTAGAATATAAAATATACAAACAACTTTGCCTACTTATTTACAATAAATTTCTTTCTGATTTACTAATAAAAAGTTAAAAAAATTTTTAAATCAAATTTATAAATATATTATAATTAAAAAATTTTATTTTTTAAATGATAAATATAAATTTTTTATAAATATCATAGAAAAATTATAATATTTTAATATCTAATAATCATAAAAAGATGAAATAAAGTTTATTAGGTTTGTTATATTAAAACATATTTAATAGTAATATTTTTAAATCTTTAAATTAATAATTATTAATATATATCAATTTTTCAATTTTTAAAATAACCTTTTATAATTACAAATAAATTAAAATTTTAGTTTATTAAATTCATCTCATTAAAATATATAAAATAGTAGTATTTTTATATTTATCAAATTAATAAATAAAAAAATATATAAATTAAATTAACTTTTTTTAATAATAATTTATTATATATTTATCTTTAAAAAATCATTAGTTAATTAATTATTTTTTTTTAATTTTTATTTAGAATATATCATAAAATTTAAAAAATATTTAAAAATAATTAAAAGTAATTAATTAATAAATAAAATTACCTATAAATTTGTAAACAAACTATCAAAAGAAAAAACTAAATTAAAATTTATTTTTAGCAATATTAATCATAATAATATTTTAAAATTATCATAAAAATAACTTTAATTATTACTATTTTTATTCCTTAAATTGTCTAACAGGTAAATTTGTTTATAAATTTAAATAATATATTAATTTTTTAATAAATATTAAATTTTAATTTTAATAATATAATAATTATATAAAAAATATAATTTAATATATACAGTCAACTCTTTCTACAACGAATTTTGATATAACGAATTTTACAATACAACGGATTTTCAGTGTCAGACA